CCAGGAGCAATGTGAGATCTCGGCTGTTTCTTCCTTTTAACTGCCAGTGGGGGTTTGAACTGATTGGGTGGGGGCTTGGCTATATATATATAGCCAAGCTCCCACCCAATATATATATATATACACATACACATACACATATATACATACATACATACATACATACATACATACATACATACATAGGTTCACCAACAAATGCGCACTCGACAAAACCGCGACGACAAAACCACGGCGAGAAAACTGCGAGGTCGAAATCGCGCCCACAACAGCGCGCTGACAACAGCGTGCCGACAAAAGCACACCATCAACAAACAATGCGAAAACAAGGTAATAACCCTAACCCTAACCCTAAACCTAACCATAAACCTAACCCTGAACCTAACCCTGAACCTAACCCTAACCCTTACCTTAACCTAATCGCGCTTTTGTCGGCGCGCTGTTGTTGGCGCGCTGTTGTGGGCGTGATTTCGACCTTGCGGTTTTCTCGCCGCGGTTTTGTCGGCGCGCTTTTGTCATGCACGCATTTGTCAAGTCATACATACATAAATACATACATACATATATACATACAAAATTTTGGCTTAATTATAGCCCATTTTTCCCGGTTTTCATGGAGAGCAAAACAATTTTGATCAAAAGGGAATCTAAAATGTAGAACTCATGCATACTTAAAACAGACTCAAGTTGAATGCTGCCAAATCTGTATTCTTCATCAAACGTGACAAGAAATGGGAACACAGAGGGGCAAGGGGGAGGCTTCACTTTCAGGTTTTGCAAAAAAGGTAACTCTTTAAAAAGTTGAGAGAGGAAGCTTGATGCGCCTAGGAGCCAGAGACTAAAAACAAATCAGAAAAAGATGGGAGTTTGAATACTGTAGAGTCATCAAGAGTAAGGCATTGTTCACAGGAATCTTGACAAGGACCACACCTGTCAAGAAGCAGAAATCTGCTAGCACTAACCAATTTAATTAAAAGGTACCAGCTTTCGTGAGCTGCCGCTCTATCCTGTCAAGAAGGTGAGAACTAAGCTGCTAAATTCTGCAGCTAAATTCTTCTGTTTTTCTACTGTTTAACAAGGTGTCTCTAAAAAGATATAATTTAACTTATCCAGACCAGAGGACAAAAGTAGGAAGATTCATCACAGCTACTGAAATCCAGCATGCCTTTCTTTGAAATTAAAAAGGGAGTGCAGAAGGAAGGCAGAACCATCCACATCTTGAGTTGACCTTCAACTTTTGACCTTACCTTCCATTGACTGCGGGCAAAGTTCTTCTGAATCTGTTCACACACAGATCCATGGATATCCTTCTCCAGAGCTGTATCCCCAGAGATCCTGAAAGGTATAAAAGAGAGGGAAGTAATCCTCTGAGTGTTTCCTGAATTGTGTATGATCTATTTCCTTGTTCGCGAGAATTCTTGTTTTACCCTGGGCTCCAACCACCCTATTTGGTCTTTGAAGGAGAAAGGTGGCTTGATGATTTTGCTGCTCACTGTCAATAGGAACTGCTCAGGGGATTTTTTTTGTGCATATCCAACCAAAGGCAAACCGCTTTAAGAGTATGATGGTAGTCAGGGCCGGATTTTCCTATAGGCTAACTAGGCTTCAGCCTAGGGCCTCAAGATCAAGAGGGGCNATGATGATGATGATGATGATGATGATGATGATGATGATAGCAGCAATGAAGAGTTGAGTCATGGAAAGATGCACACCTGGAGTGCACGGTGCCCCCTAAGGCCTAGGAAAGCTTGGCTGATTCTTTTTCAAAGAAGAATCTTTGTAGCTCAGGGTTAAACTGTGGAGACCTTGGTGCTCTCTGAGCTTGGCTGTTTTCATGCAGATGTTTCATGACCTAATGAAACATCTGCAAGAAAACCACCAAGCGCAGAGAGCACCAAGGTCTCCACAGTCCTCCTCCTCCTCCTTTCCTTCTCCTCCCAAATTCCACTCTCTTCTAGCACTGATGATGTTACCTAGTTTGGGTCACGAAACATCTGCAAGAAAACCACCAAGCGCCATGAGAGCACCATGGACCCGCTGATACTTTTTTTGCTCCTAATCCATTCATCAGAGGCTGTTCTTTGTTCTACATTTTCTGGTTCTGGAATGGATGTGACAATTCTCCTTTTCCAGGCAGTCAGAGCCAATGGGACCCATACACCAATAATTCAAACGAATCCAGCTGACCACTTCCCTTTCGTGGTCAGCCACAAACTCCTGATGTCGCCATGATGTGGAACAGAGAGAGCATTTGGGAGGGGGGGGAAGACCCCTAGAGCGACATCTGGCACAACAGAGGACACTTTCAAGCAAAGACTGAAATAGGGGTTATAATTAAGATTTGCCCACCTTTATTTTAATTATAGGTGTTGACATAGAAAGCCATTTCGATGCCAGTGAGACAGTATTGCGAGAAAATGTTCCAAGTTACATCATTCCACAGTAAACACATCGAACCTTAGCGAAACAAGAAACAAATAGAAGGCCCATCCATCAGAGGACAGCTCAAGGAATAAATCTGACAATCTTCCCAAAATGTCTGTGGGTGACAGAAAAAAAGGTCTTAGCAATAGCAGTTAGACTTATATACCGCTTCATAGGCCTTTCAGCCCTCTCTAAGCGGTTTACAGAGTCAGCATATCGCCCCCAACAATCCAGGTCCTCATTTCACCCACCTCGGAAGGATGGAAGGCTGAGTCAACCTTGAGCCGGTGAGATTTGACCCGCCGAACTGCAGATAGCAGTCAGCTGAAGCGGCCTGCAGTACTGCACCCTAACCACTGCGCCACCTCAGCTTGGCCACCTCAGCTTGGCCACC